GAGCAGGAAGGCGACGAGGATGACGGTGCGCTGCGCCGCAACCTTGCGCTTCTCCAGCAGCACGGTGTACAACTCCTTGCGGAGTAGGCGGTGCGGTTCGTGAGCGCGAGCTCGAGTCGTCCCGAGGGACGCCGAGGAGGCGGATGGTGAGTTGGAAGGCGGGGAGCGACGCGGGGGAGACGGTCGCGCCTTCACAGTTGTTGTCCGCGGGGAGGAAGGTGATGTTGGTGGACATGAGGGCGGCGGAGGGTAGCGGCAACACAGGCGGCATGGGCTGGAAGGAGAGGACGCGGAGGGCGACACGGAGGTCGGATATGGCGGTGGTGTCGTCGTTGAAGGGCCCGGACGGGAGGCGGTCCGTGCCAGACGACGCCAAAAGCGCATACTCCGACGGGTCCTCGAACTGGAGGTGCGCTCCGCGGTGGTCGCCCCCGCAAGGTAGTTGGACGTGGTATGTGCGCTCTGCGTGTCCCAGTCGGGCGAGACGTGACTTGTCGAGCCCAGAAACCAGACACTTGGCGCCCTCAAACCTACCGCAGTCGTTGAAATGTAATGCCAGCAATTTGGAATACCGCGAGTCATCGGGATTGGGATGAATTTGGCGTTGCCGAACGAGTCAAGCACGTCCGTCATAGCACGCAGCTGGTCTGGGATAGAATTTAGCTAAACTTGTCGCTTCTGACAAAGGCCGCCACGGAATTGACACGACGGCGCCAAGCAGGGGACGGACAAAGAGGGGATGCTGGAGACACTGTGGTTGCTTTAGATCGAGCGGCCTGGGGTAAAATATGACGGACACGCAGACTGACATGCTCTGACATGTCGCACACCAAGTAGCAGGGTCTGGCGGGAGTCCCGGCAACGATCGACTGTGGGTCTAAAAAATGTCTGCACAAAAGCGAAAGCAACCGAGACTAACCTTGTAATTTCTGCAAAAGGCCGTCGCCGCGGCGAAGATGATCCGCGACGGCGCCCAGCAGCTCTCTGAAAGAGAGATGATGCTAGGGTGCTGCAGTGAGTGAGATGCCAAATAATGTGGGAGGGGTGAACATACTATACTTGACATCAGCACTCAAGGCATATCAGCCTTCGCCGCGCATCCATCATCTTGCGCGCCGAATTGGTTAGGCCCGTGCACATCGCTTTGCGCGGCCTTCAGTCGATGGTGCATCCCAGCACGTACGAAGGCTCGCGCGCGCGCATCATCTTGCGCGCCGAATTGGCTAGGCCCGCGCACATCGTCTGACGCGGCCTCAGTCGATAGTGCATCCCAGCACGTACGATGGCTCTCGCGCACGCACATCATCTTGCGCGCCGAGTTGACCTGGCCCGTGCACATCGCCTTGCGCGGCCCAGTCGACGGTGCATACCAGCACGCAGGATAGCTCTCGCACACGCACATCATCTTGCGCGCCGAGTCGACCTGGCCCCGTGCACATCGCCTGGCACGGCCCAGCACATACGTGATACGATCTCTCGCGCACGCACATCATCTTGCGCGCCGATTGCGAGTCAATTGGTCGATCTGATTGGAGATGATCTGCGGAAACATAGCGAGTGAGGAGGAGATGGAAGAAACGGCGCAGACGAAGAACAAACCGTGAATTATGAGTCAAGTAAGTGCCCAGGTAGATGAGTCTACAACCTTCCTTCAGGTCATCACCGAGTTCGCTGAGATTCCGTGTCTTGCGCCATCCGTGGCTCCAAGTAGCAGCGAGCCAGACGCTCGGCGCTACGCATGCTGGAGGGTTATGTATATGAGTATACGCTGCGGTTTAGTTGTTTGTCCTTGTGTACGGATTTCCACCTTCCACGTCTCGCATGGATATATAATCAGGTACTTTTTTTGCTCTCTCCAAATTTTCGAAAAAAAAGTTTTTGATTTTGGTCTGACTGGTGAGACTAATGGATATCCGTATATATATATATGTGGTACGAATGGATTCGGGCCAACTCTCCGCCACTGAATGTTTCATATGTACGTACAAGATATTCATCAGCTTAGTACGAATACATCGTAAGGAAAATGGAACGTTAACAGTAGATTTTGTTCAAAACATGGTCATCTCTGGTCACTGCTGGCATGTATCCAAGATAGCCCAAAGCGTACCACTTCCTGCACGACTGTTATGATACGAACAGTACAAAAAAGGTAGAAGACGCACAAATCCCAGTTTTATGTGTTGAATACTCAGAACACCCGACCTTCTGATGACCTCGGGAAGGCCATTGGAGGTCAAAAAGTAAGCCCGCCGTGCAGCACTACCACTAGAGAACTGCCTTCCAATACGTGTCTTCAGATGGCCTACCGAGCCAAGCCGGACATCCCACACATGATTCGCGCAGCTCCGGCCTCGATTTTGTATAACACTACAGTACAAACATTATTCTTGATTGCTGGTATGCTTCACCGACCAATCCATCTTCTAAAAGCATCAAACTCATCAGTCGCTTCGAGGTTTCGTTTCGCTAGCTCTGCAACGACCCGCTTGATTTGTGAATCACTGTTGGCGTCCTGCATGGGTTGGTTCACACGATGAAAGGCTTTGAGAACTTCAAAAGCCCTTAAATAAAAAATTGTCAGTAAGATATAGGCCGGGGTGCATTGACTTACTCGTCGATTCCCCGATCAATCTGTTGCCACATCAGGTGTGATCCAATGGACCACATGTACAACCCCTCAATGTCATCAGCTAGGTTCTGAGAATGACCAGGGCCAGCCAGCTTGAGTACTGGTGCTATGGGTAAATGTGCCTTGGCCTGGCCCTTATTCACAACTTTATTCACGTATGCCGCCAAGTCGCATGGTAGAAGAACTGGAAATCGAATGTCGTGGGTGCTGTCCAGTAAATCGTCCAGGCTTGAGGCATACGTCATGCGTTGAGCATCCTTCAATGGATCATGCCAGTCTACGCCTTGGTTTAATAGACGTCCTGGATCTTCATCGGTCGCAATCCAACCATCGACCTCCGCCCGGTTAGATCGATTTATATGAGCTTTAAGACCTTCATGACTAAATAATTCGTCCCATTTATACCTATGATCATCAATACTGGGACCATAATTGGAAAAAAAAAATTACGAAGGGTGGCTCAAGGCATTGCTTGGGGTATCCTCATACTTGTAAAATAAAAATAAAAATCGAGTGGGAAGGTTGTTGTTAAGGATAGTACCGTATCTTCATAGGACATATGCGCCCAAAGTGATTCCCCTGTGCTATACCATGTAAACAAAAAAACAGAGGAAAGGGAGCTAAAACACCTTACTTGATGTCTTGGAGTTGTTCAATCTCCCAATAGGCTACATGGCGCATGAACAATGTGAAGTATGCCAGACAACTTTGGCGAATTTCCGAATCGTCCAGATCAGAGTAACGGAAGGGACTGCCCCCACGTAAAGATACATCGGCGTATCTTTGTTTAGTCCAGGAACGAGCTTCAGCACCCAACTTTGCTGGATCCACTGTATTAGCCGTGGAACGGGCCAAAGATTCCATGTAGGATGGAAGAAAATATATCCCATAGCCCTACAGGACGGTGTGAGGAGAGGAACGGAATTCAAAAGCGTAGACGGAGAACTTTGTTGGCGTATTTGAAGACTCTATATCAATCAAAGGTCAATAACATTACTGCGTATCTAAATGCAACACCTGCCGTTGCGGTTGACTTGCACGACGCTCCGAAAGATAGTGGCCATGTATTAGATTCATGGTGAAAAGATTACGCCCAGCTGCTCGGCAATTGGTTAGGGTATGAACATATGTCTAACGGTGTGTAACATACTCTCGAGAGCTCGAGCAGCCCTGGGAAGCATCAAAACCTCGCTTCCATTCCACCCAATGGAGCATATATCGAGATCAAAATTGAGGAGGACGTCCTTGGGCGAATTGACCAATTTCAGGACTATCTGAATGCGCCTGAGGGGATACTGAGCATAAAAGGTGACAGTTTTCGAGTTCTTAACGGCAATGGACGGCGTTCCAGGAGGCAGATTCGACTGGAAAATGTCGTAGACATGTTTCATCTTGTTTGTCGCCTCCAATGAAGGCAACCCGTAAACGTAGATGTCAATATCAGACGACTCCCACAGTTTCGTCGAGTTTTGAGCTATCGCTGGGTGATCGACAGAAAGTAGAGCACCGAGTACTATGCCCCCGGCAACGAAGAGGTTATTCCAATCCACATTCCTGAGCAGTCCGTCCGACATGCGATTAAAGGTTTCCTTGAAGGCTTGGGTGGAAGCTTGGATGGTGATTTTCTCTGCGCGGGAATTGCAAAGAACCTCGAAGTCAGAAAGGGATTTCGGTCGCACCAATGTACGGCCAGAGTGTGCTACATCAGATTCAGGGAAAATGATCTCGGCATCCTGTAGTGTGACTAGTCCTCGAGTGCCATCCACGTCTCGTAGCCAGTTTTCATTCCGAAGGATCCTGGGTATTGATAAGCCTCGACTCAGTGTAAAGAGCGCAGAAACACCCTCACCATTCGTCAATCTCAGAGGACGAGTACGTCTTATCGTCGGCAAGCCGAAGCGCGGTGCGACGAAATATAGTATACGGCATCCTAGTCCAGTTCCATAGGTGATGTCCGAGGACGGTGAGATTAATAGCCTCCATCTCCTTGGCCACTTCGTCCCCTGCACCCATTACTTCTGCCGCCAAATCCACCAAAGTTGGAACATTCTTGCGCATACCCAAGTCGCGGGAAAGGTAGTGGTTGTGGGCACGGACATGATTCTTGATTGTGTCGCGGGCCAGTTTCGAGGAGTTTCCCCAAGTGGCATTCTCAGTGGGTTGGGGTGAATCTCCACTACTGGTCGACATGGCCAGGGAAGAATCGATGAAAGACTGAGAGGCGGGAGGCCGTTCCGGTTACGTCGGTGATCTCCTGCCGGGCTTCAGACAGACGTTATAATTATTTCAATAATTTTAATAAAGGGAGATCGATTAGAAAGTACTATGCAACTAATCATTCCTTCTACGATCATGAATCCAGGAGTACGGCCTGGTAGTGTAACGGTAGCACGCCCGCTTTCAATTAAAATGCGTCGACCTTCCGAGTTATAAAGCGGAGATTCCCTGTTCGATTCGGGGTCAGGCCATCATCCGTCCAACGTGAGTATGTAGGTGTTTTTATTTCATTTTATATTTGGGTTCTGCATTTTATAATTATACTTCGTTCGCTCACGAAATCTTGTAATTTCAAAGACAATCCGCTGCGTTGGCGAGCTCGGAATCCACCAACAAGCTGTGGAACCGCTTGTGTCTACTCAAAGTCGCCAAATTGTCACCGTCCGTACATGTAGTACTGTACTACAAGCAAGTCTACAAAGGATCCCTGTATCATCGGCTCCCACGGTTAATTAACAGTATACTACATCCCTTGCGATTCTCGGAGCTTGGTTCGTGCTTGTAGTATACATACTTGAAGGAATCCCTGTTTAGGTAGAAGAGGGAGTTAATAATAGAGGCTGTCGGGCGTTATTCAATGAAAAGCAAGGAAGGCGACGCTGATACCCGGGGGAGAAACAAGCAGGCATGATACGCCGTGAAGCCACTCACCTTCAGGCGCTCAGCCCCTATGTTCGCTGTTCGTTCGTTGGGCGTTTGCGAAACCGGTCTGTCCCGGAATCTTTGAGCAGCGCTCGTAACTCCGTGATTGTGGCTTGATCCTGCTGACGCTTTTCAAGCAGTTTTGAAAACCGTTTATTGGACTCTTCGAGGCCACTGGCTGCTTCCTGAAGCCTACTCTTTACTTTTTCGAGTTTAGCATTAAAAAATGTGGCCGCAGCGCGGTCGCGGTCGCGTTCATCGATTACATTGGCGAGCTTCGTCTCCAAGGCAGCGATGGACGCATACTGGTCGTCGCGCTGTCCAACAACTTGCTTGTGCAAAGTTTGGAGCTCCTTGCACTTGGACTCGGAAGTCCGCAATTCTTGCTGAACAACTGCCATGTCGCGAACGGCGTGATCCCGCTCCTTCAGAGCGTCGAGCGTGTTTCCAACCTGGTCAACAATAGCACCTTCCAACCGTCCCATTCCCATGGGGTCGGTTATGTCGCGTTCGTACGCTCTTTCGCATGCACGGAGTTCCATGAGCTTGAAAAGTTTCTCCATGGCTTTGGCTTTGGCGGTTTCTTCTCCGTCGCCTTTCTCTTTACCGTACCGGGCAAGAGTAAGGTGTTCCAGGTATGAGGAACAGGTCGTGCAGTCGTCCAGTTCCTCGCAGGTCGGCACGCCGAAATCTTCGTCAAGGCACCAGTCCAATCCCGAATGACAGATCTCGGATTCTAGCTCCTGCTCCGCCTGGGTGTCTAAACGCGTGACAAGTTCAAGCGGCTTGATGGAATACGCGCTCATTGGCGCAGGAAATTGAGGTGGTCGTTCTTTCCCATGAACCTAGATTGGATAGCGGGACCGGAGGGGCATGGTTTAAACTCTAAGAGAAATCCAGAAGTAAACTAAAAACTCGACGCTCGGCAGCTTCAAAATTACCGGGTAACGTCGTGAGTTCTGGGCCAGGCTCTGGCGAGCGGATGGAAGCTGGGGGGTGAGATGACGTAAGCGTTAGCTGTCAACCATATCAACGCTTGCTTCCAGGTCACTAGTACTGCGACTGCGTCGAAACATACAGTGGCTACTTCATTTCACAGACGAAACAACTCACAAAGGTCTACCCGGTATTATCATTCTGTATACTCCTGCGTGTGAACGTTGATCGCTGATCTTCCAGCCGATTCTGCGACAAGTTGGAACATGTCCCTCCACCACACCTCTTCCCCACACCCCGACTGCGAGCTCCGGAACGTGATTTAAAGCCCGCGCGGAGATCAAAAGAACGACCAGCGGGAAACCCTGCACGAATGAACACCTATTCCACTGAACCTGCGAAACTCGTTGCTCGTTCATACACACCAGCGGAACAGACCCTAGACGCTGAAATCCTACAATCCGGGATAAAATGGCAGATCGACGACGACCTGGGTGTACCTTACTGCGAGCCATTGGATGAGTGCGACACCTGTTTCACATATCTTGACCACCTCGGTATAGCTCGGTATGGTCCCAAGCGCAAGAAAGATGTAGACAGCAGTGGTGAAGAGGGGAGAGCCGAGACCGATAGTGATTCCAACGAGAGCGAGAGCGAAGAAGATGACGCCAGCGCCGATGCACCACGGAGCACTCAATCTAAAGCCTTCGAGAAATTGCTCTAGCTCAAGGATCTGCGAGCACGCAGAAGAGCATATGAACACGACCTAGCTGACCCCATGGGAATGGGTCGATTGGAAGGCGCCATCGTGGAGCAGGTGGGCAACCGGCTTGACGCTCTCAGGGAGCGGGATGACGCTGTTTGTCGTCTGGCCGTGGGTCGGAAAGAATTGAATACTTCCAAGGAAGGATACACGCAGCTAGAAACCTTCTACCAGCTGGCTGTTCAGGAGCGCGACAACCAACTTGCCGCTATCATCGTCTTGGAAACAAAGCTAACAAATGCGGTTGCTGAACGAGAACATGCTCACGCTGCTGTCAAAGATTTGGAAGCTCAGCTCGAGCAAGGACAGGACAGCTTCCAAGAAATAGCCCACGGACTCGAGGAGCTCAACCAGCGGTCTCTGGGACTGCTTGAAGACCACCAGCAGGATCAAGCCACCATTGCCGAGTTACAAGCCCAGGTAAAACTGCTCGAAAATTTAGGAACGGAGGACGATCAGTCGTCTCGAAAACGCCGCAGGACGACAGCAGGTAATTATAATGAGCGCGCAGTATCGCGGCTGCCCAACACTCTGAGCAACATGAAACTCGACCCTCCGGAATCATCCGCGAAGGTGAGCCGCTCCGCATGTCATGCTTATTTATTTTTGTTAATCTAGGTGTCAGAGTCATACCGTGACTCCCACTGCGACCTTACCGTCTGGTAGGCGCGCATGGAGCTCGGTCAACGCCAACCGCCGTGACGATCGGGATTTTTCAAACATGAAAAAGCCTACAGCAGACGACCCCCCCGAATCATTGGCGCGATGGCTGCAGTTCAACAAAAGTGCAGTGATCAAGGGAGTGACAGTTTCCGAGGCTGGTACGGTGGACCTCCGGGACGTGCGGGGGTACCATCAAGTTATGACCGGCTTCCCCTCGAGAAACGCGGCAACCGGGCGAACCACTACGCCCGATGTGTCACCTCAGTACTCCGAGTATTGACAGTCCCCGGACGGTATGCGGATGGGCTACAAAAGACGGCGGCGACCATCGCAGGTCGCCCCAGCTTAACACCTTGTGCTTTTACGGGGGCTCGACTGTCAGATAGCGACGTCGTGGTGTTATTGGCGGCCAAAGGTTTAACGGCTGCTGCTGCAGACGATGCTTGGCAGTTTTGTTATAAGTTTGTGAACGCTCAAGCCCAGCAGCCAGATCCCCCAGTTTCCCAGTCGGATATGCACGATATACTTCGAGACGCTAGCGAAGTTATCAAAACCCGAGGGCAAACCGTTGGGAATCCGACCTGCCCATGAGGACGAATTCCCAAAGATTGATATTCCAAAACGAAGCAAAAAAGGGGTGGTTGACTATCGGACCTTTTGCTGAAACGTGTTTTGCGCCTACGTAGCCGTCGTATAAGTATCGAAATTCAAGTATCATGCATTTTTAAGATGTCAATGATGTTAGTATTTTAGACCGTCTGGCCAAGCGTTCTCCCAGTTTTCATTTGAGGTGCGGCTCTATCAGATGATCCTCGTCTGGAGCATCGACGACAAATATCCACGCCGTCATGGTTTGCGCTCATGGCGATGCACGGACTCCTACGGCTGCATGCAATGCAAGCCCATCCGCCCAGGCTGAAAACAGGCTCAGGCGCTCTCTCGCGGGACAGAAAAATGGGTAGTTCACTTATCCTTGTCTTACCAGCTGATGTCGCGTACTTACATATGGACTTCCATCTCAGATCCAGTAATGATCAGAGGTGGAAGGTGGAAATCCGTACACAAGGACAAGCAACAAACACAGCCACAGATGCACCGACTACAGGTGGAAGGTGGACATCAGTATACAAGGACAAAGCAACGAACCACATCCTCCCCGTTGTGCCTAGCAGCCGGTAGTGCCGCGCGTCTGGCTCGGGCTGATATATGGCTGGGGGCCACGGATGGTGCAAGACTCGGAACGCAGCGGCGCGGGGACGCTGCCAGTGATGAAGACCTGGAGAAAGGTTGTCGACTCATCTACCCGGGCTCTTACTTGGCTTGAATCCTCATTTACGGTTTGTTCTCCGTCTGCCCCGTTCACATCTCCTCACTCGCAATGTTTCCGTAGATTGTCTACAATCAAAATTAACTCGGCGCGCAAGAGGATGTGCGTGCGCGAGCCATCGTATACGCGCTGGGATGCACTATCGACGGAGGGGGCCGCGCAAGGAATGTGTACGGGCCAACTCGGCGCGCAAGATGATGTGCGTGTACGAGAGCCATCCTGCGTGCTAGTATGCACAATCGACTGGCCGAGCCAGGCGATGTGCATGGGCCAGGTCAACTCAGTGCGCAAGATGATGTGCGTGCGCGAGAGCCATCGTACGTGCTGGGATGCACTAACGACTGAGGGCCGCGCAAGGCGTTGGGCACGGACCTGGTTAACTCGGGGCACAAAGATGATGGGCGCACGCGAACCATCGTATGTGCTAGGATGCACTATCGACTGGGGCTTCTCAAGGAGATGTACATCGGCCTGCTGAACTCGGAGTAGAAGACGATGGGCGTGCGCGAGCCATCTTACGTACTGGGATGCACCGTCGACTGGTCGTCGGGAAGGTGGGTCTTGCATGTTTTGTTTCACTCATTCGCTAAGCTATCCTCGCAGCGTCCCATGTGCGGTACGGGCCTCTTCTTTACTTCTCCTCCTCCAACTCATCAGACTTGCTTACCCGTTTCTTCCCGGACGTCATTCAACGAGAAGTTGCAGGGAATTGAGGAAAATCAGGAAACTTCAGAGGCTCCCCAGCTGGAGCAACTTGACCTTTTGACACCATCGACGACGTCGAAGCTCCGGCCGTTCGAAAACCGTGCCGAAGAGCTCTAAATGATCTGCAGGAGGGAAAGGAACCCCTGCCCTCAATC